AAAGAAAGAAAGAAAGAAAGAAAGAAAGAAAGAAAGAAAGAAAGAAAGAAAGAATGAATGAATTCCCCCTAACGAACAGGCAACTGTTCCTGGCAACTGTTCCTGGAAGGTTCACCATCAGGGCTCATGGGCTATCCCTGCCTCCACTTCTGAATAGGTTCCTTTCCTCAAGTCCAGCAGCCAGGAACAAGTTCAAGTAAAAGACAGCCCCCGGCATGCATCTCAGGGGTTAGCAGATCGACAGCTGTGTCTATAGGCAGGGCCCAGAAATAGAGGCAGAGAATGGAGCGTCATGGGCTCTCATCCTGTCTTAAACCCCAAGAACCTGTGAGAAAATCAGCCCAAGAAGTGTTAAAAGGGCTCACCCATGAGGGCAGCATTTCCTGAGCTCTGCCTGAGTATAACCCAGCAACAAGACTTGGGCAATCTGTTCCCCTTCTAGAAGACACAATAGGTGGGGTGCCTGGGTGGCTCAGTTGGTTAAGTGTCTGCCTTAAGCATCAGCCTTCAGCTCAGGTCATGATCCCCGGGGGTCCTGGGATCCAGTCCCATGCTGGGCTCCCTGCTCAGCAGGGATCTTGCTTCTCCCTCTCCCTGTGCTTCTCCCCATGCTTATGCTCTCTCTCTCAAATGAAATAAATAAAATCTTAAAAAAAAAAATAAGATGCAATAGGTGAACAAGAATTCCCCAACTGCGTCATGGAACCTCCCCAGCCTCCTGAGTGCTGTGCCCGCACAAGCCAAAGGGGTAAGTAACCGGGAAGTTTGACAGACACAGCCCACCTGAATAATGCAAACCAAAACCGTATCTGGTTTTCATATATATGTAAAGTTGTTTTTTAAGAAGGCAAACCCCCACATAATCTCATTACTATTAAAAGTTTGCTCCCACATCAAGGAGATCCAAAACATAATGAAGGCAGCCCTATTTCACGCAGGCACATTCTAAATCGTAGGTTGAGGCAGGTTGAGGTTCACCAGATCTTTAAAAGTAGGACAAGCCAACTCCATGCTCAGCGTGGGGCCCAATGCAGGGTTCAATCCCATGACCCCAAGATCATGACCTCAGCCGAAATCAAGTGTGGGGAGCTTCACCAACTGAGCCAGCCAGACATCCCTGGAAGATAGAATTTTTAAAGTTTCCATCTACACTCCATCCCTAGTCTTTTGCATTCAATAAAAAAACGGACTATTTTACTTCTTTTGGGTCCTTCAAGACCACATATGCGTGATACAGACACCAGCCTTTTGCAACTAGCTGAAGCAAACTGCCCAAGACAAACAGAAACTTAATTCTGAGTTAAAAAAAAAAAGTCATTTAAGCCGAACATCTTTATTAGACTCAAAAACACTCTCAAAAATAAGTTAACGAAAACATCACATTTTCCGAAACCTAAAGTGTTTTTTTTTTCTCGATTTCATTCCTTTTAAAATACCTTTTAAATTAATTTAGCAATTTTCTTGAACTATAGTAAAAGGACAAATACCAGTGAGGATCCTGTTCTATGCAAATCGGTCTGTAACAGCTTGCTGGCTTTACATTCTCAAGTGCTCTCTGACTCCAAACCAAGGGATTTTAAGCCCGGCATCCACCTTTTCTTTGCAAGAACGGGTGAGAGCAGTTTCTGCATAGGGATCCTCAGCATTGTCCTAACATTTTAGAGAATAAGCACAAAGCACAGTCCTCCGTCTGGATTAGAGACTCAAACTTCAGGGAGCAGAACTCCCCTGGGTGCTTGTTAGAATGCAGGTTTCTGAGGCCCATGCAGAAAGCTGGCTGGATGGGGGCCTGGGAATCTGTATTATCAGCCAGCCCTCCCCCTCCCCAACAGTGGTTGTGATATTGGAGGTCCACAGCTTTGCAGTGTAAAGGTGACACACCAGACCACAGAGAGAAACCCTCTCGGGCCTCTTCCCGAAGCCGGATTCCATGGGGCCTTGGAAAGGATCTCTCTCCCCTGGGGCCCTCGCCGAAATGGCAGCATCAAAGCTCCCTGCCAGTTCCCCTAAGGCAGAGTCTCAGGGGACCGCCGTGGCCCAGCAGCTATTCTGCCAAGTCATTCATGAGATGCGCTGGCCCAGGGGTGAGGACAAGCCCCTTCCCCATTTCGGCTCCCCCCGGTATCCGAACCGAGATCGTTCAGAGCTGAGGCCCCGCCCCATCTCCCTCGCAACCGCAGGTCCAGCCCTTTCCAAAAGCTGCTGCGGCTTCAGCCGCAGTTAGATCCAAACAGGGGGGAGGGGGGCGGGTGCCGCTCACCGGATCCACCTTCATACCCCTGCAACTCTCATTGAGAAGGCCGGTGGTGAACATCGAGTCGTCTCCATGGCAACCGACAGGTTGTCACAGACTCAGGATTACGACTCCTCGGCGTGGGGATTCCAGAGAAGAGGTTGGAGGCGGCGTCCCTCGGATGCCCGGACCCACACCCAAACTAAAGGGATGGATCCCCTGGCTTCCCGCCCGGGTCCCCGGCCCCTAGCCCGACCTCTGCCGCTCAGCGGCCACAGCAAGCACGGAGGAGGGGTTGGATTTTTAACGGGGCCCCCCAGCCCTACGGCGGGGGATGGCGGCGTGGTGGGCGCCTCCCACCCTCGCCCTAGAGCCCCAGCTGCGGAGCCCCAGGGCGCGCGGGCCGCGCGGGGCGGGCACGGGCGCGGGGCGGGCACGGGCGCGGGGGCGGGGACGGGCTCGGGGGCGGGGACGGGCAGTGGGCGGGCCCCGTGCGGGGCCTAATCCCCACCCCCGGGGGCGGTGCCTGGCGCCGGGGAGTGTCAGGAAGAGGAAGAGCGCGGCCAGAGGCGGGCGGTGCGGGCGCGCGGCGAGCAGGGGCCGAGCCCAGGCGAGCGCCGCGCGGGCCACCATGGCCACGGACGAGCTGGCCAGCAAGCTGAACCGGCGGCTGCAGATGGAGGACGAGGGCGGCGCCGAGGCCCCGGAGCAGCCCGGGCTGAACGGGGCGGCGGCGGCGGCGGCCGGGGCGCCCGACGAGGCGGCCGAGGCGCTGGGCAGCGCGGACTGCGAGCTGAGCGCCAAGCTGCTGCGGCGCGCCGACCTCAACCAGGGCATCGGCGAGCCCCAGTCGCCCAGCCGCCGCGTCTTCAACCCCTACACCGAGTTCAAGGAGTTCTCCAGGAAGCAGATCAAGGACATGGAGAAGATGTTCAAGCAGTGAGTGCCCGCCCGACCCGGCCCCCCACCCACCCCGCGCGCCGGCCTCGGGCCCGGAACCCCCGAACCCCGCGCCGCCCGGGACCCCTGCCGCCAGGCGTGCGCCTCTGAACCCCCACACACCAAAGGCGGGGGCGACCCCGCGGCCCCTTTCATTTAATCACGAGGCTTGAGGACCTCCTCCCCACCACGCGTGTGAGTCTGGCAACCCCGAGCCCCTGACACGCGACCCCTCCTCACGGTGACGGGGGCCCCCCCCGTACACCATACGCGCGCACTATCGGTGTGGAGGACTGCGCGGCCCCTCCAGGTAACCCCGAGGCCCCTCGAGCCCCCACTACCACCATACACATGACTCTGAAGATTGCGGGGCTCTGGCCTCGGATCCCTGTGTTAGTGAGGCTTCCCCCACCACCCACCAGACAGCCACGCACCCTGAGATTTGAGGACCCCGGGGCCTCCCTTTCCCTCTCCCTAGCTGCTCGAATTCCCCACCCCCACCCAAACACCCTGGTCAAAAACATCCACACACACACCCCCAGCGCCTCAACAAAGGTTCCCTGTGCCCTATGCTGTACCCATTCTTTTTATTAGGGTCCTTTCATTTCCTCTGCTTATCTCGCATTCCCCTCAACATAGGTTCTGGGCAAAGACCCCCCCACCTTCCCTTTCAGTTATTCAGCATCTGCTAGCAAACTGTGGTCAAAGACCCTCCAGACCCTGCCACCCCTACCCCTACCCACTCTGCTAGCCAGGTCCCCAATCCTTGACCCTCAGGTGGTCTCCTTAGGGAGATCCCTCTATAACTGCCCCCCCCAACTTTGCAGGTATGTACCACCCATCACCCCTTCAGGGCTGAGTCCCCTCCTCCCTCCACACACTGTTCCTCCCTCCTCTTGCCCTAACCTTCCTCCCCCCCACCCCCAGTAGCTTTGCAGTCGCTGCCGACCCCCACCATGTGCCCCCTTTCCTCCCACACAGGATTCCAACACCCCACACCTCCCTATCTGATTTGTCTGGTTGCTCTCACCCCTACCTTTTACTCTGTGCAATTCCATATACTGTGTCTTAGCAGGTTGGACAGACACCCCCAGGCCTATGGCTCAGCCCTCCTCACCCACCCTTGCAAAAAACCTTTAAAATCTCTGTGATGGGGACTAAATGGTCCCCTTCGGGTCCATCCCTGAGTCCACCAAGTTGTGACTGCAATGGACAACCAAAATCTTCACAACCACGGTTGTGCAGGGGGCAGGCTGGGGGGGTGGGGTGTTAAAGCTCGCAGCCCCCTTCCCTGTGGTACCCCTCCCCACCTCTTGTTGCCCATCCCCTTGCCCCTGGCCCCTGAAGGGGGGACAGCCCAGGGGTGTGGTCTGAGTGGAGAGGTGCTGACCCACCTTGGCTGAGGCACGAGGACAGGGCGGGATGGGGCTGTGTACCCAAGCAACAAGCAGGAAGCCCAAGAAGGGGGTGTTTTGCAACCCCACAGCTTGAGAAAGGCTTTTTCCCACTTCTTGTCACTGCTGCTTCTGCCTGCGGCCCCCACACAGGGGAAGAAGGTTTTGTTTCCCAGACCTGGATGGCTGGGAGCCCCATACTTTTCCAAGGGTCAGCCTGGGGGGAAACCGAGTCCTTAACCCTCCTCTGGCCCACTGTGTGGAAGTCCCTGGGCCCTGAGGAGCCTACCTCTTTGGCTCCAGGGTCTTTGTTGAGAGTTGTAAAGTTTCTTTCCCCACCAAAGACTGTCACCCTTGGGAGAGCAGGATTTCCAGGATTCCAGCCCAGATTGATGGGAAATGGAAAGCTTCTTAAGCCCAGGGCTAGGTAGAGACAGCTTCACTGTCTGGAACTTCCTTGTAGAGCCTGCCCTCCCCTCCCCACCCTGGAGTGGGGGAGGCAATGCCGGGGAGATTGTTCAAATGCATCAGTGATTGATAGAGTCTAGGCACTGAGAACATCTAGGAGCTGGATTCCACCCAGCATCCCTATGACGTAGAACTCTCATCATCACCATGGTACAGTTGGGTGGTCTGGGCACAGAGGGGTTAAATTTAACCCTCCAAGACCACATAACTAGGAAATGATGGAGCCGGGATCTGAACTCAGATCTGTGACTCCAAAAGCCATCACAGACATTTGCTTTCCACGTGGGAAAACACACTCGTTCAAAACCCCCTTCTGTGTTCATGGCTGATTTCCCACCTCACAGACCGGCCAGTGGCCTATGTCTTTCTGCCAGAATCCTCCTTCTCCTGGGCTTCCGCAGCATTGCTACACCCAGCCAAAAACAACAACAACAACAACAACAAACGATAGAGCTGTTTGGGAGAACGCAGGCATCCCGAATGAGTAGGGACTTGGGGGGCCGCGGCTTGATCAGAAGGGGCGTGTGACCAGAGGAATGGCCTGGAAGCTGCATTTGCGGGAACATTCACCTTCTAGGAAGGCTGTTTGGGGTGTTGGTTTGACAGGGTTTACTCTGGTGAAGTTTGGGGGAAGCCGAACCCCTTCGGACACCCCTGTGGGCCACCTCTTGGCACCACGGCTGCTGCTGCCTTGGAAGGGGCAGGGTTGGGGGCAGGAAGGGGCCGGGGAGCTGGACTTCTAGGGAAGGAAGTGCCGTCCGCCAGGGCCCTGGCGAGGACAGAAAGGGGCAGGTTTTGTATTCAAGGAAACAAGGCTTCACTGTGCCAGCCAAGCCGAACCCAGCCGAGCCCTGGCTGCGAACAGCCAACACACAGGCTTTTGGGAGGACAAAACCCTGTTCTGCTTCTGCTGTCCTAATGGGGCCGCTACCTCCTGGGTCCAAGCGGGGCCCTGCTAACAGACTTCCACCCGGGGCTCCGGCAGGGAGGAGGGGAGCCCAGCCCTCCGGGAAGCCATTCCCCCCAACAGAGCACAAGAGATAGGGAGGGCTTAGGGAGCTGGGAGCTGGCCTGCCTTGGAAGGCAGGAGCTACAAAGCCTCCCCCTCAGTCCTGCCTCTGCCCCTGAATTATTTAGTAATTAATTCCCATCTGTAAAATGAGCAGGTTGTACTTAGGAATGGCCTCCTTATTTCCGAGGGGTCCTGAACCCTTGGGGATGACAGGCTGCCTTCCAGGGTCTTCTGGTTCATCCATTCAGTGTCTATCAGCAGATCCTTCCTGAGGAGGGAGGTAGAAGGAGAACCAAGGGGATTGAGGGAAGCAAGACAGGCTGTCCGCCGTCCCTGACCTCGGCATCCAGATGTGCAGCTCCCGGCCAGGAGAGACATCCAGCCCGTCTCCCCATCTTATAGAGAAGGCAACTGAGACCCAGAAAGGTGTGGTGACTTGCTTGGGGTCACAGGGAAGTTTTCAGTGGCCGAACCAGAGCGCCCTTGTCTGTACGACTGATCAGGCAGGGCTTGGGCGGTGGGGGGGGGCGCTCAGAGCTCAGACTTTGTGCCCAGCATTTGGAGGCCTGCCCCCCCCCCCCCCGGAACCTCAGCCCTCCCTCCCCAGGCGGCCTCAGGCGGCCCCAGCACTTCTGACTCCTCCCCCCACCTCTCTCGGCCCATCCATTCAGGGCTCTCTCTAGAACCTTCCAGCCAAAGGGGGAATAGTGTGACCCCACAAAGCCTCAAGGGGGCCCAGCTCCGGGCTGGCAGCCGCATGTGTGAGGCTCTGTGGGGTTTTGTAAGTCGAGACCTGCCCGAGAGGTCAGCAGCCACGTAATTCTGAACCTGCCAGGGAATCTGAGGAAGATGCCCTAGTTCCCTGCTTGGCCGGCCTCAGCCTCAGACACGGCATCTCATGACCCTGTGCGTCAGAGAGGCAGGCTTCCTTCTCCTTCTGGACGCCTCTGCCCTCCCTGTTTCTCCATTCGCTCCTCCCCGCCCCACCCCCGTGTCTCCCTAGACCCTATCCCTCAGCAGCTCCCCCAGCATCCTTCTTGGAAGACAGGAGGACACAGTAGTTAAGAGCAGGGCCTTTGGAGTCTATAGGTTTGAATCCCAAGGCCCTTAAACCTTCTGGGCCTCAGTTCCTCACCCTAAAACACGGAGAGTTACAGCACCCACCTCACAGGGCTGTTGTGAGGTACTTAACTGAGTACTCAGCACGAATTGAGCACTGGGAAGCTCCCGTCCCCTCATCCCCCGGCCTACTCTGCCAAAGCCCCTGGCTGCCTCCACTTACCCCCTAGGGAGCTGCCCGGCTGGCGAAAACCTCATGCTTTGGGCTCGCCTGTTGCGGGACCCAGCATGAGAATCCCCTTTTTTTCCTGCTGAACGGGCACTCCGGTTGGCAGCTACATATGGCTCTGATCAATAACAAAAATGGGGAAATGAATTCGTTATCACTTAATTATGTGGAAAGCAGGTGGCATGGAAAAGGAAAGAGCAAGAGACAGCTTCCCGGGGTGATTCCAGACTGGGACCCCAGCACCCAGCCGCCGCGGGGCAGCCGGGAGACCCCGGGGAAGGGGGCTCAGCTTTGAGGCTCGCCCTAGGCTGAAGACCCTCCCTGGTAAAGGTCTGAGGGTTCAGTGTAAAGAGTCCCGGCCCTTGGCAAAGAGTCCACCATCATGTCCAGCCCGTGGGCTGTTACAAACATAGAAGCTTTTGAAAAACATAAAATCCATCCATATAATCATTCACCCGACACATACTAAGTTTCTGCTGTGGGCAAATTCTAGAGAATCAAGGGAAGAAGAAAGTTCCCACCCTCAGGAAGCTTAAAGTCTCATGAAAAGCAGTGGCATAGAGGGGTCTCTGGGGGTAGAGGGGATGGGCCCATGTGGCTAGAAATGGAAACTTCCATTCCTTTATCCCCGCCGTGAGGACCCAGGGCGCTCATGAGGGTCCCGTGCTCAGACACCCTCCTCCACCAGCTCCTGCCCCCACGCCCTCACCTCATTTCCTGGAACCCCCAGGTCCAGTTGCTCACAACAGCGCAGTGAGGTGGGGAAATCCTCACCCCCATTGGCCAGATGAAGAAACTGAGGCTCGAGGAGATAGCGTCATGTCCGCAAGGTTATAAT